ATATATATATATATATAGATAGATAGATAGATAGATAGATAGTCGTGTGAAAAAGTTTAAGACCGCTTAACTAAAAAAATGTTTTTTTTTTCATTTCTAGGCTTGTGATTGCATCAAATTATGTTTATGATTGCATCATCCTATATGACATCATCCTTCTCAGCCATGTTAACAAACTAATGCTTAGCGAGTGTATTGTCTTCGGAAATTTGATCAGTTTAAACGCATCTAAACATAAAAATAATGTTCAGTTCAATTAGACATTATAAAATACTCTTTAGATTTTGTTCATTTTAACAAAAAGTTAAAATTCGGACAGAACTTATGAGATGACATGATATATATATATATATATATATAGTACCAATGTAACAATTTCATTTTTTTACATATATATATGTGTATGTGTGTGTCTGTGTGCGTGTGATAAAATATAGTTTTAAGGTATGCTGTGTGTGTGTGTGTGTGTGTGATAAAATATAGTTTTAAGGTATGATATATGTTATATAAGTGCTCCATATCAGAGATAGAGCGTATGTAAATATAAAAAGCGACAATCTTTTTCATGCGAAATGCAATCGTCAGGCTTGATGCTTGCGTTTAGCATGAAACAAACTGTCGCCTCTGGGTGTTAACTTCAATCTCTACTTATATATATATATATATATATATATATATATATATATATATTTAAGTTATGAAAACTTGGTAATCCGTGTGGGTAATCCCAAGGAGGATTAAATTTTTCGTTTCATTTTTGGAAGTGCTATCTAATGATCCGGAGTCCTTTAAAAGGGGTCTGGTGAAATAAATTATTATAATGGAACCTTAACGTGGTCTGTTCTTCTCTTTAATATATATATATATATATATATATATATATATATATATATATATATATAATTCAAACCATGGCGTATTACCATCATTGGACACCTAAAATCTATTCAACAAAGCCTCAGATGTGATTGAAAGTACTTGGAAAAATAAAAACTTAGCCTTAGAAAATAAAATGAACAATAATGAGAGCATACATTGCCATCAAACAAATCTACGTAAACACAGAAGCAACAAATTAGACGACAAGATTAAAAAAAATAATAATACATGAACACATACCACATATTGAAAAAACATATAAATTAAACTCATCACTCACTACAAAAGAAAAAAAAACTTCAATGATCAACAATAAAACATAAAAGAAATGAAAGCTACAACAAACCAATGTTGTCAATGAATTCGCTTGACCGCTTAGACACATTAGTTACACAGCCACTACATTATCACGCCGATTAACTTGCCATCATTTGATAATAATTCAGTTAAGTGCATATTGCGAACCAACACAGAAACAAAACAGAAAAATTCTTCACAATAACACAAATATGCGACATGACAAGCTCTAAAAATATATTAAAAACAGACGCATAAAAAACAAACAACCCAACATCAATAAATTGCCATCAAATTGACGAACAAACCTAATAATCATATTATCATTAAAAATACTTCCACAGAGTAATTTCACTATCTTAAATTTAAAAACAACACAGTAATCAGTTATCCATGAGAGACTGACTGAATTTTACTCGCAAATTTATAAGTTGACAATGTTCTCTATTTATTTCAAGCAAACGATTCCAGCGATCAATATTTTGTACGACGTCTTTTGCTTGTGATTGACTGCTTCGGTATGGCGTATGCTGAGTATCAAGTTGTTACACGAATCAAACGAAATTCTTTTGTTAAAACTTCTTTAATAGCCTCTCTCAGTGCTTCTCTACTTGAAGGTTTTTGTTTGTTATTTTTATGCTTTTGATAAAAAAAATGAATTTCCTACAAATTCTGTTCAGATCTGGTTTGTTCTCGAGAGAGTCCAGTTTTGTCACGTTGACCCTGTTCAAACATTCTTTACTACCTTTGACTGGTTGCATTGAACATTTATCATACATAAACACTGTAAATGTTCATATGCAATTCAAATTTCTCTTACAATAGTTCTTCATACTTTTTTTACTATTCATCGTTGTTTTTAACCAGAATTCAACTGTTCCAGATTTAGATGTGGCGCCCTAATTCATCGATCTTCGTGGGTGCATCATAGTTTGTATTGCATAAATCTCTTACTAGGGAGTTGTCTATTTTTTTTACACATAATGAAATGTTACAGAATAAATTTTTCTGAAGCTATAATTTTGATCCGGTCTTCAGTTGTCCAGGTTTCATGTTGCTTAGCAAATGTCAAACGCTTGGATTTCATAGCTGCAGTTCGCCGTAGTTTATGAGCCGGTCTGAATGTCATCCAACTGACATCTGTACGATTGTAAAGCAAGGCAGCATGTATCTTCTTACAAGAACTTGTTGGGTATCAGGTAGCAATATGATTCATTGTCATCTCGAGCGCTGGTTTCCTTTGAACATGCACTTCACCACTTGTCAATAAATATACCTGAAATTTCGAAATTCACGACAGCAATGTACATTGTTTGTTCAAACCTATTTTTACACTGATTTCACATTAAGAATAGTCTTCATTGTGTAGAACCACAATTTATACCATTCGTGTCGGTGAAATTGAGGAGTTTTGCCCATATTCTTACACACAGAAAAAATGAAAAATAAAATCGTTACATCAAAGTGACCTTAAACATTTGTTAATGTCTATATATACTTAATATTCGATACTTTGCTTTGAAAATAAATTATGAAAGTTGAAAGTAAAACCGGTCAAACAAGAAAGGTCATTTATATAGTTCCAATCTAACACACACACACACACACAAACACACACACACACACACACACACACATACACACACACAAATATATATAAAATTTCCAAGTAACGACAAACTCATATATACGAGACGCGGAAGCGAAAATCGCGTCGCAGCTCGTGACGTCACACATGACCATGATGGTGAGAGTGAAAAAGTATTAAGTATGGGAAGCCGTTGGTATAAACCAATGGCTTCTGTTATAAATTATAGGAATTTATGGAGATTTGTGGAGATTTCATAGTTTATTTTGTTCAGGTTTGGTTTCAATTGTTTTATTGATAAAACTTCAAGAATTTTTAATTTTTGTTTATTGTTTTCGTGTTTAAGTATAGTTGTGTTGTCAATAAGGATTTTTCGGAATTGAGTACGCGGGCAGGCATGTTGTTTTAAATGCCTAAAAATGTTAGAGTTATCATTTAAATGTCGTGAAAGCGTCGTGAAAGCGAGTTTGTGGTGTGACCAACATAAATATTATTTAATCCGACCAACATTAATATTATTTAATATATTTGTTTGTCTTTTCTTGGACATTTTCATGCAGCAAGGGCGGACTATCATTGTTGTTTCGTCCGTGTGTTGTTTGATTTATTGAAATTGTCATCTTTGATAATGGCTTGTGTAAGCCGATTGCTTAGATTGGATTTAAACATGTAGCAATATGGTGTTTTCCTTTTACCTTTCAACGACAATGTGATTAAGCTTATCTAACAATATGAAAGGAACTTACTTAAAATAAATCGACAAAACTTGTCTATATTATTTAATGAAACATGCATTAATGAAAAATTGCTGCCTAAATATAGACAAAAACAATTTACTCACTACAAAGATGCAACTTCGTTTCAGTACATTTAAAATTACACCTTGACTGGGGAAAACCAACATTAAGCCCTCTTTTGAATTAATGCAGTGAACATTAGAATTTATATATTATTTTTGTTCTCATTACATTCATATATATATATATATATATATATATAATATTAATACAGGTAAAAGGTTTATCACTTAACTGATTGATGTTATCTTTAGCATCCCGAATCCAGAGTTTCGCAGACGGAGCTTCCGGTAATCACTCCGTCCACTCGTCAGGGGATATCAGCAATTGACTGCTTATACTTCTCGATTTTATTTTATTTATTTATTTATTTTTGTATACATTTTTCTTTGATGAATGTTTTTTTCAAAGTCATTGTTTGCGTGTCCGCGTTCATGCGTCCGTCTACGCGTACGTGCGTACATGTAGAATGTTGTGGCTACTTGTTCTTTTCGTCGTTTTTCTTTCCACTTTACACCCATTCCTTATTGGTTTTTACCTTTTTCTCTCTTTTTCCTCTTTTCTTCCAATTGTAGCCATTTTGACTCCCGGTTTTCCAGACATACAGTCGTTATTAATTCTTGATCGTTCTAGTACTTTCTTGAGTTAAGTACATACATATATATATATATATATATATATATATATATATGTGTGTGTGTGTGTGTGTGTGTGTGTGTGTGTGTGTGTGTGTGCGTTGAATGAGAGTGTTTTAATGAAGAATTTATCGAATCTAAGATAACTAGAAAACCTATCATAATTTACTATTAGTCAGCATAAAGCTAACATAAGATGCACAGATGACAATGCATGGATGACCAACTTTGTAGAAGCTGAAAGAACACTTAGACAAAGAAAGTAAATAAAGGAAAGCAAGAAGAAAAGCCTGTAAGAAGACAGAATCAATAGCCGTCCATAACAAGATTGGGGGCGGTGAAAATCATGCCTGTACAGTTATTTAACTCTCTGAGTAAATCTGTAGCAATGGAGAATAGAAAGCGTGGTATAAAAATCCAAAAGCACATAGGAATAGCTAAATATGCCTTTCTGAAACTAAGCAAAGTATTAAGAGACTGAAAAATATCTTAAGAAATGAAATCACACACGTTTCTTATTATTATTATTATTATGTGAAGAAAAGTCAATTCGAAGGGAGCTGATCATTTCACAGATGAGCAATTCTCTATGCTTTTTGTATTCCAAGTTCCCTTTTTGTGTTTATCTTTACGCCAAATTTATCAGGACTGAAATGACGACGACCTTTACAAAATATGTCTCTTCCATCGAGAAAGCAAGAAATTTGCACAAATTAATAGTTATCATATTCATGATAGATGCATAGATTACGAATTTTAGGTTGTGTAACTGGTAGCTTGTTGGTATAAAAATAACCATTAGGACTAGATGTGACCATCGCTCAATAAGCATGAATAAACAAAATCAGATAGATAGATAGATAGATAGATAGATAGATAGATAGATAGATAGATAGATAGATAGATATGAACAGACAGAGATAGATAGATATGAAAAGAATGAGATAGATAGATAGATAGATAGATAGATAGATAGATAGATAGATAGATATGAACAGACTGAGATAGATAGATAGATAGATAGATAGATAGATAGATAGATATGAACAGACTGAGATAGAGAGTGAAAGAAAGCAAAAAAAGAATCACGTAGTGTGAGATGATTAAGAACAGGATAGCAACTACATAGTTAAATCGAACGATACCTAGATCAGATGACGGACTGGCAGACAGAGATGTTTGTCTGCAATTGTCTACTGAAATCCATTCTCCAAGATTTTTATTCCTCTGACTTGTTTTGTTCTTGCTTTTGTTTTAGTGAGATTTTTTTCGACCCCATTTAGCCGAACTCAAACAAAGTTTCATCCACAAGTCAACGCTATTTATTTTCTCTTTCTTTTCACGTTATACACACTGACAAATACAACGCTAAACTCGCGGAATGGACAGAAACCAGCGCTTCCATAAATCAAATTACACGACAAAGCCTACCATTTTTGCACAGTTTTGATACAAATGAGGGGAGGCATTTTTGTATTCAATGGTCCAGAAAATGAGGAAGCAAAATTTCTTGTTACCTCTTTCTAACCTTCTCCAAAGGAATTGCCGCCATTTTATTGCAAAATTTCGCCCACTTCTCTTTCCTAACTGAAAGATTTCGTTATTGCTTTCAAGACAAGAAGGTAAATGGCTTTATAAAGAAAAAAAAAGATGAAAAAGTATAATTGAAAATCAGAGAAAATGAAAGAGGGACAATTCTAAACGAATTCAATAGGATATTACTCAGGCGACTGAATTGTAACAGTGGGTGATTGGTGGATAACAGTGGAAATATGGTCGTCTATTTTTTCCGCCATTGGTGACGCGGCCATATTGTATGGATTTTATTTAGCGATTAATCTCATACAGAAACACGGACACACACATTCTGAATGGTATTTTCTGTCAGAACATCAAACGGATGCTCTAATACATTGAAAACTACGCAATTCATTTTCATAGTTTTCCACGAAAAATTACGAATACATTACCATTTATGGTCAAGTCCTTTTATTTCTTTTTCAGCATTGAAGACGTAAGATATAAATTGTATATTGCATCAGTGTGAACAAAAAATTAAAACTTACAAATAAAGCTCAACTCGATACTCATTTTTTTTCTATCTTTCTTTCTTTTCTTTTTTTTTATTTTTATATCAACCAACTCTTGATATAATTCGGCATATTCTGTTTAATTTTAACTAATCAAAAATGTTCTATTTTGAACAGTCGACTGTCCGGATTTCTTCAAGCGAATGTGACCGGGGTACATTTTGTTTAATTTATTCAATTTTTGTACTTTTTTTACTTGTGAATGAGTAAGGAGAACAATAAGTATAATCCCCAGATGCCGAACAAAACTGATGTATGAGAAATTACATCCACGAGAAGTGTACATTGACAAATACATCCCCCTGCACGAAAAATTAATTTGGACATGTCTGCAGCATTTACAGTCGCTTTTAGTGTAAAAAATATGTTAAGTGAAAATATAATTTAAATTAAATTCCTATAATTGATTGGCCATAAATTATATATATATATATGTGTGTGTGTGTGTGTGTGTGTGTGTGTGTATGAAGAAAATATCTGGAAAAACAAAACAAAAATCCTTAAAATGCGATTATGTTGTTTTAATATGAATGAAATGTCATTCATATTAAAACAACATAATCGCATTTTAAGGATTTTTGTTTTTCCATATATTTTCTTCATTCTGTCGGATTTATATCCATTTATATTTGCTTATCATATGTGTGTATGTATGTGTGTGTGTGCGTATATATATATATATATATATATATATATATATATTTAAAAGAAAAACAGACCACTATATATGTATGTATAAAGATCGCTGAATGTGTGAAACTGAAAGACATGCATTATTGCAATAGTGATTCCTAGGTCGATACTATCTTTTTTTCTCACTTTCTCTTATATATATATATATATATATATATATATATATATATATGTTATTATGAATACAGTCCAACGGTTGCACAGGATCGCCTCATCAATGATGTTATGACTAGGGGTCATGACAAGTTTTGCGTTTTTCAACATCATACCTGCTCGCCCAAGCGATCCTACCGAAAAATTACCTATTCCGGCAGGTGATTCTGAAGCAAAAATCCACCAAGCACATAACAATAGACATTTGTGTGTGTGTGTGTGTGTGTGTGTGTGTGTGTGTGTGTGTGTGTGTGTGTGTGTGTGTGTGTGTTGCGCAGGTAATAGGAGTAAGTAGGCATTCCTATCGCCCGGTCAACACACCTCCCCCTTCTCTTGAACAACCGCCCCTTCACCCTTTCTTCTTGTTTAGGAAGGGCTTCCCGGTACTTTTCCTCTCCTTCTCCCTGGCCTCCGCAGTAGCACTGTCATGATTCTCTTGTGATGTGTGCAGTCTGTGGCAACGCCTCTTCTCAGGGTACCGGGTTAACAGTTTTCTCGTTGCTGTTTCCGACTGGTAGTTAAGAGCCCTAACTCTTGCGTCGTGTCTTGAGCAGCCGTTCTGATAAGTATTTGCATAACATCGGGGTGCCTGTAGTGCTATGTCACGCATGAAGGGGTGTCCCTTCACGCACCTTCGGTAGGCAACCCTGAGGCCACATCATGTTGCAGGTTTCACCAGCTCCTTTCTGCCCTTGTCACATAAGATGACCGTCTGCTACTTCTACTTCAGGTCTTCTCATTTTCACTACCAACATTACCCAACATAACAATAAACGATCCAAAGATTAAACTTAACCCAGCTCTAAAAATATCACCTAAAACCTGTAACATTTTCTTTTCTAATATCCGTGCAATTCGAAGAAACTTCTGCAGTGTGGAATCGTTCCTCACTGAGAAGTCTCCTGATATACTGGCTCTCTGCGAGACCAACCTCGACTCGTTTATCCCCTCCTCTGACCTCTCGATCTCCGGTTACCTTCCTCTACTTAGGAAAGACTCTCAAACCCACATGCATGGCCTAGGAGTTTACGTCAAGGACAATCTCCCATTGTCTAGGGAGCTCTCTCTCTCTCTCTCTCTCTCTCTCTCTCTCTCTCTCTCTCTCTCTCTCTCTCTCATCTCCGGACCATTCATACACGTGTCTCCATTTGTCTCTCCTTAATGCGGTAAGCTACCTCTTCTTCCTTTATCGCTCTCCATCTTCCCAAGACTGTGGTGTTCGAAAGCATTTCCGACAACATAGACACGACTATTCTCTCTTCATATATTCCTGTTCAGTGACTTTAAAGCCCACCATGCCAAGTGGCTAAAAAACTCTATATCTGACCTTGGTGGCATACGAACCCTTAACTTTTCAATTACTCAACCCCTCACACAAGTGGTTGATTTCCCACCAGTTTCCCCAATAACCATGACGGTATGGCTTCCCTTCTAGATTTCTGCTTCACCTCCATCCCCAAGTCTTGTCGTGCCACGCAGTTCTGCCCTCTTGGCAACTCTGATCATTCCGTACTGTCTGTCAACATTTCCTTCCACTCCTCCCCCAGCAAAGAGCCTCCTACTAACAGGACATCTTTCTGTTATCAGCGAGCAGACTGGGACTCGTTCCGTGATTTCCTTCGTGATGTCCCCTGGAATATGGTCTTTAATCTCCTCGTCCAAGAATGCATTTCTGTGGTCTCCTCCTGGGTAAAAGCTGGAATCGAGGCTTTCATCCCTGCAAGGAAATATATGGTTAAATCGCGCTCATCCTCTTGGTTCTCTGCTGCTTGCTCAGCTGCCATTGCCCACAGGAATCACTTCTTCCGCCTGTACTGTAGAAACATGTCAGATTGAAAATGACGTCTCTTTTGTCTCAGCCCGTAATGGGTGCAAGCGTGTCCTCAATGAAGCAAAATCTTATTTGCTGATAGAATGAAACAACGTATTGCATCTCGCAAATTCGGCTCCAAATATTATTGACGTATCTGCAAGAGCGTACTAAACAACAGCAAACCCACAATACCCCCCTTGTTCACCAATTCCTGACTTCCTCAACTGATCAGGCCGAGTGTTTTGTTCGTAAATTCCCATCCAATTCAACGCTTGACTCGTCCGGTATACCCACACCCAACCACCCCCTAGAACTGAGGCTCTATCGAGCGAGTTGCACATAACCCCATCAATGTTATTGAGCATCATCTCTAAATTAGACTCCCATAAGTCTAGAATTGGGGGACAGGATATCAGCCGTTGTCCTGAAGAAAGGTGCTCCTAAACTGGCTCCTGTCCTCTCCAAACTATACAACTACTGCCTAAATGATTCTTGCTTTCCATCCTGTTGGAAGTCTTCCTCTGTTGTACCTGTCTTCAAGAACTCTGGAGACCCTTCTGACCCATCTAACTACCGTCCTATCAGTCTCCTACCACTCTTCGACAAAGCCTTTGAAGATTTAATCAACGTCGAAGTGGTTAATCACCTTACATCCCATCATCTGCTCTCTGACAAGCAATATGATTTCCGTTTTGCCCGGTCTACAGCTGATGTGCTCACGGCCATAATTGAATTTGTTTACCAAGCAATTCACAATAACGAACACGCTCGTGCTGTGGCTCTCCACATTTCTAAAGCGTTTGATAGGATTTGATATGTCGGCCTCCTACGCAAACTTCAGGGATACGGTATTTCAGGACAATTATTTGACTTAATCTAATCATTCCTGTCAAACCATGTAATGAAGGGCGTCCTTAACGGGTTCTCCTCCAGTTCCTTTCTCACGAACGCAGGTGTTCCCCAAGGCTCTATCCTGGGCCCTACACTGTTCCTGATCTTCATTAACGGTCTTCCCGATGTCATAACTTCCTAAGTAGGCATTTATGCAGAGGACACTACTATTTACTCCTGCCTCAATAGCAAATCTGGTATCGCTGACAAAACTAACCTGGCCGTTGGTCCCGAAAAAGACCTACAATCAGTTGTTGACTGGACCAGGAAAGGGAAATACCTCAAAAAACTGCTCTCTATTACCCACCACAGAGAACTCTCCCTGCCTTCCATTAGTGTGGACATATAAGCAACGTCGAGTCTGGTAAATACTTAGATGGATGGATGCTCAACTCCACGAGAGCATCTCTTTGAAACTGCTTCGTCTCACACTGTCCGCTGACCTCAGATAAAATAATTACATTGAATCAATAACTTCATCTACCGCAAGGAAATTTAGTTCTCTGTGTCGCGCCAGAAGTTTTTCTCGCCCGAGTCCATCCTTCAATTCTATAAATCAACCATTCGCCCTTGCATGGAATACTGCTGCCATATATGGTCTGGAGCCCCCGCTGTGCGTCTTAGGGTCCTCGATAAAATCCAGAGACGAATATGCAATGTGGTAGGCCCTGATCTGGCATCTCTTTTACAGTCGCTCTCTCACAAACCTGCCGACGCCTCCCTCTGTCTTTTCTACATATACTTTCATGATAAATGCCCCGACGAGCTATTTTCGCTCGTTCCCAAACTCCATGAATTTAAACGTGTCACTGGGTCGGCATCTAGATCCCACCCTTTCACTGTCGAAACGGTTAAATATAGCCGTCTCTTCTACTCCAATAGCTTCATGTCTCGCACTTCCCGTCTATGGAACTCCTTTCCTCTTATTTGCTTCCCTGATAGCTATAATCTCCAACTATTCAAATGCAATGTCAATCGACATCTCCAGATGCCTTGATCTATTCCCCGTCCTTCTCTTCATCCTTTTCTCTATCACGTCTCTTTACCCTTGCTCCCACTTTCTGTAACTCCTTGCGTGTTAATGGCACACCCGCCTTGCTTGGGTTGAAAAGTTAAAAATATATATATAAACAACTGCCACTACTGATCTTGAAATAGTAATCGACCAATCAGAAACGCCCTACGTCACTTCCTCCTCAGCCAAGACGACACAAAAAGAGAACATATATATAGTGACAGTGTGGACATGTAAGCAACGTCCAGCCTGGTAAGTACTTAGGTGGATGACCGCTTGGAAATAACAGTCTGGATGTGCGGGTGGTGCAATGGATGATGGATCAGAGTTGGAAATCAGAGACATGAGTTCCAATTCCAGTAGGCTTCGTTATATTCACTTACGCGCAAATATTATTGGGAAAGGCATGAATCCACTTCCCCCCAGCTATGTATTAAATAATAGAACTTGTATCTGTAGATCACAAAAATATATTCCGGCTTCCAATAAGCAGCAAATGGTTGATAAGCTGTAATAAAACAAATCAATGAACGCCTAATACGTCACCTTCTTTATTTACAAAACAAATGTTGTTAGTTCTGTACAGCTTGGTAAAGTCCGGTAACAGAAAAGGAAATCTGTAGTACTGAACAAGAGATCTCTAGCTTATCTTAATTCACCAAAACGAAATTAAATTTTGATGGATACTGAAAGACTGACATGGGAAGGTCATATTTCCAAATTTAATTTCAGTTCATTAAGTGTACAGTCCAGTCCAATATGAATGCTCATTGCATTTCTTAAATTTTCCCCTTTTTGTCTTCATGCATTGTTTTAATAAAAAGTTGGCAACACTGCGTAGTAATAAACAGTTGGCAGCCATTTTGTTGATATAGCAACAAGATGCGTAAAGGATTTTTGAGCGATGTTAGGGAAACGAAGATTTTTGAAATGCTTTATGGAGGAAAAACAACAGCGGAAATTTGCTAAAATTCATGCCAGAGGCCACCGCACGGTTAAGAAATTCATCTGAAGCCGAGTTGCATGCAGTTTACGCTTTTTCTCGTATGGAACGAATGGAAACCAGTTTAAAGACAGAGATTCGTAAGAAGACAATTAAGCGTAGCGAAGAGTTATTTGGCGCCAAATGTACCAAAAACGACACAATGGCGCATCCGGAAGTGCTGAGGTACGTGCAGAAAACCCAGTTCTCGCCCTCACCTAAAACTGAATCACCTCACTAAAAATATTTCATTGGCTGATAATTATTTAAAATTAGATTTTCAATGTGTGTTATTCACGGACGAATGCAGATCGACGCTGGGCGGTTTCGGGAAACAGAATGGCGAACCTGTGTCTCTTCGAATGAGGAATCAACCAGCAGGCGAAGGAGTCATATTCTGGAGAGAGATTATTGGCAATAAGTTGGTTAGCCCCCCTGGGGAGTTGTTGATGGTGCCAGAATGAACTCTCCTGCCTACCGAAGTATCAGCATTCAGATATGACTCAAGTAAATAACACTGACATTCAAACACAAAGTGATATTTATGCATGAGAATATTTCAGCTCATCCGTAGCTAAATTAGCCTTATTCAAAATGGAGTGACCAAAGCGTTCGTCACATCTTAACACTATCGTAGATCTTTGAAGAATCGTCAAGAGATTGTCTTTGAAGCTGTTACCCTTGAAGAAGTAGTGAACTGAACGTTTTTTACGGGCACTAGCAGAAAAATGGAAAATATATCAGCAAATAATATTACTTTTTCTATTGTGTTATTTGACAAGGTGAGGAATTCTTTACTTCGTTTGGTATTTCTTTGAATAAATCTTAAGTTATAAGTTCTTTTATTATCACCCAATCGCTTCAAAGGGATTCGCCTAAGGTGTTTGCATATAAATTGGAACGGGTCAAATAATCACCATAAATTAAATTCTGTATTCCAATACGATCGAAGTTTTTGTTATATTGCTTCTAAACATACAACCTCGATTTCACCAACATTTAGTGAATCTGCAGCAATTAGTTTAATAATTATTATTTTATTGATTCGCATATAGTGTTGGAACGTCGTGTATTCTTTTCCTGTTGTTTTTATGGAAAAACTTGAATGCTTTACATGGACAGCTTGTGGCATTTATTTACTGTATTTTATCAGAACACTGTTCAAATCTTGTGTGCCGCTCAGTATTGTGACATTGCACATGCGCAATATCTTCTAGTCGTTTTTCATTTATTGGCATGGTCAGTAGCCGACGGAAAAGTGCGTTATTTGCTTTGCGTCGTGCCTGAGGGTAATGCATTTGTACGAGGCAAGACAGGTAATTGAAATCAGATTTTACCGGTCTCAGTCAAATATCTACTCATATACGTAGCCTGCTACATGTTTGAAATAGTCACATATTTGATACCAAAGTACCAGGTTGGAGTCCAATCCGAGGTAAAAGCCAGTATTTAGAGCATTTCTTTTCACGATGTTCACGTGTACGTATAATGAAACACAAAGCTCCTATTTTGACTTTGTGTTTGTACCAAACATATAATGTAAACAATTCTCTTTTCTATCAATTGGTCAACAATTGTCATACAGTTGGATAAATTTTATTATTATTATTATTATTATTATTATTATTATTATTATTATTATTATTATCTTTGATTTCTGGCGTTTACACATTTCTTTCCGGGTTCCGCCCAGGGACCTAAGGTTAGAAATGGCATCATGACACTTTCCACTGACAAAAAGTAAGTAGAACCCGGTCAGGTGACGCTACCCGACTTTGGTATCAAATATGTAACTACCCGAATGACGGTGTTCCCAAGAATCTAAATGTGACTTCCGTATTACATTTAGTGAGGGTCAAGTATTGTTACCTTATTATAATTGTTCTTGCCCCTTCATCCATGGAAACGTAGCCGTGTGGTTAGAATGTTCGCTTTCTGACCATGAGACTCGGGTTCAAATCTCATTACGGTCGATTTGTCAAGAAAATGACTTCTTATCGGAGGAGGCGATCCTACTGTACGACACCTTTGGAAAGTGCCTGAAAACTATTTTGACCCAAGCCTTGTTAGTGTAATTGGATAGACGAAACCTTTGGGGAAGCCGTCGGTTGTCAGGCCAGCACAAAGTCACAATTAATCGTGACGAAGAGTTTTGAGCGTGCTGACCTTGTTGATTACGCTAGATAACGCGATCTCTCCCAAGAAACAGTAACTAAGGTCCGCTTAGCATCGTTGCAGTATAAAACACAGGTGGGTGTTGAAAAAACAATGGGTATTAGCTAGCCGCCCTAGTAGACTTGGGAAAAAGCATGCGGTGGCAGTTTTCTCGTTTTCAAATTCATTCGCTTAATGTCAGCTATGGTCCAGTTAAAAATGTTGAAACTGTATTGATCGTCAAGGACAGCCAGAGTGATTATTGCTGATTTCTTTTTTAATTCAACTCGGTATTCAGTACCAGACGCACACGCCTGCAGTACTCCTTTCTTACCTTCTCTTTTCTTTGGGTAAACTGTATTCCATCTCCTTTGTTAATTCCGAGGTACCTATAGGCTTTTTCTTCTTTACAGTTTTTCCTGCAATTTTCTGATTCAGAATTATTCCACTGATCAACACGACTTTTGTTGCCAAGAAACAAAAACACATTTTTTTTTACCTAATTTGTTGGTGCTGATTTCGAAAATGACCTTAATTTTTCTTGGTTAGCTACCATTTTTGCTCTACTGAAATTACTCATTTTTGGAAAAAAGATCAATTTACGATCTTGGCTGATCGCAAAATTTAGTTAATAAATGTCGTAGAAACTCATCAATATTCAGGTAGGCCGAGTAATTTATGTCAGCCACCTGAAATAAACTATTTTTATAAGAAGTTATACAGTTTCAACATTTTTAACTGGACCATAGCTGACATTAAGCGAAAAATTTGAAAACGAGAAAACTGCCACCGCATGCTTTATCCCAAGTCTACTAGGGCGGCTAGCTAATACCCATTGTTTTTTCAACACCCACCTGTGTTTTATACTGCAACGATGCTAAGCGGACCTTAGTTACTGTTTCTTGGGAGAGATCGCGTTATCTAGCCTAATCAACAAGGTCAGCACGCTCAAAACTCTTATAAGTGTTTTTGAGTCAAAAATTTTAAAATAGAAGTACCGTTTTTCTAATTTATCGTCTAAATTCAAATTAACTGACAAACTTTAATAAACCTGATAAAGGTGACATCAAAAAAATGAAACCCTAAAATCTTCTGTTTGATATTCATAAATTTATCCCATCACTTTTATTATTTCCCTACGAAAGAAAACCAAGCACATTGAGAGCATTTTGTTTTCATAGTTGGAAAGAAACTGCAACTAAAGACATCCCAACTGAATGCACCTATTCCATTATACATACTGCTGGATTATCAAAAGGGACTTAAATAACATTGAACATGACAGACAATCAAGAAAGAGAAAAATTTTACCATAGGTTTTATTCTTGCTGTTAGTTTATTAAACGATTTGATGTAAATACTTGTTGGTCTTGGTATATTCAATCGTGTTAGGATCTGATTGTTATTGCAAAAATTGTATATCTCAATAAGCAGACCAATATTTGTTGCTTTAAATATGAATTGAGAGGTTTCTACGATTTTATTTTGAGGAATATTTCCATCGGTCAATATCATGAATACAGAAAACAAATGAAAAAAATGCTTTCTTTTTCAAAAATGACGCATTTATGTACAGCAAAAAACGGTAGCCAATCAAGAAAACGTAAGGTCATTTTCAGATTCGGCGCCCTCAAATTATCTAAAAACCAAAAATATGTTTGGTGTCTCGACACTATTTCATTTTTTTTTTTTTTTTGATCTGTGTCATTGTGGATATTTTTAGTTCTGATCATATCCATAATAGTTTGGGATGTCGTTGTAATTATTTTGATATTGGTTAAGATTGCAAAATAAAATGCTTACATTTGCGTTTATAATCCATCAGTGGTAAATAAATGTTTTCCATTTGTCTTTATTCATGTTTTATTTTTACAGACATATTTTATTTATATGTGAATTTTTACACACACACACACATCTGTGTGTATGAAAAAGAGACTTCTTCTTCCATCGATTTGCTCAAACTTGCCGGATAAGTCATTGCTTGCTTCCGTCTACTTCTCTATTTTAATAATTTTTACCTCATACATCGCTCAAGAGCTACTCAAGGTAGAGTGTTAGTGAATAAGGTGAGGGGTATGAACATAAGCAGAAGAAGTATAGAGTGAAGATTATGAGAAGTTAGAGAATAGGTAAAGACTGAAAAATGTTAAGATTGTAGTGTTCGGTGCATGGGAGTCTGTTCCTTAGCGTTTCTTGGTAAGGAGCTGTCTGTATTGAACTTCTTTCTTACAAATGGAATACAAAGACAGTGCTGGAGATTCAACCCTTTTGACGTAGAATATTTTAGCTGTAAAGATCGGAAGTGTTGGAACTCAAGAATGGAGCTCATCTGAATATTTGCTATGAAATAGTGAGGGAGTATCCATGTTGCATCCGTAGAGAAAGGACTGGAGACTAAAAAGTGAACTTGTGCCATATTGAGATAAATATCTTTAGAGCACATATTTACAGAAGTACACGGTTTTCACCGAAATCATCAACATCGTCATCATCATCAGTCTCATGAGAGGATGTAGTCGTAGAGTCGCTGATCAGCTGACCACTTCCCATCACATATCTGGATATGTGCATTCATTTATGCGAAGAGCATCTTGAGCAAGTAGGTCTGGCAGAGCCCATCTCTCTCCAGATCCAACCGTAGCCGATGTAACCTCTAAATTGAAGGCTCGTCTTGGTCACCTTTCGTCTAGAAATCTCTCCGCCCGAGAACATCACATTCATCACCGTATTAGCCACATTCACAGCTATAGAACCCAATCTGCCACATTGTGTTAGATGGCTATTTACTCTACAAGAAGTTCCATCCACCCTTTAATCAGTCTTGATTTGAATCATGCTGGGTGACTAGTCCCACTCCTAATCAGAAAAGCCTGATGGAAGAACCAATTTTATTTACGATTACCTGACAATGTGACAATATAGTATCCGAGGTACTCGTAGACTGGTCAACAACAAACGCCTTTCAATACGTGATAAAATACCAAAGATTATTAATTCTGTTATCTTGATTATAAAACTTGTACTCAGATACATAATCCGCAGAAATGGGGAACAAGCCAGACGCGATCCTCTTTATGAAAAAAAAGGACGTATAAAAAGGACAAAACAAAAATAGAATTATTCACCATTTTATTTCCTGACTGAACAAACGGAGGTTGAAGGAAACGCATTAAGAACAACAAAAATAAGGATCAATAACTATTTGATGTAAAACGAACAGGCGCTAATGTCGCCATGAATAATAATTAAAAAAATATACAAAAAAGAAATATTTTTTTTAGATTGCAACTATTAGACTTTCGTGGATATATATATAT